CTCTTGTGCAGTTTTGCATGTTATCTCAAACCCTCTTTTCTGCTCCAGTCAAATGAATCTGAACTCTATATTTTGCTTTTACAGATGGAGAGTCAAACACAATTACTGACATCCTCTGTGGAGATGAAGGAGTCCATTGTTGATGCCAATTCACAACTGCAAGAGACGGTGAATTCCCTCCAAAAGTAAGACATCCTCTCATGTAAATAAAAAATAGGAGTATCACAATATAGCAGTTTTTGTCGATAACAGTGATTTTTTTTTTTTTAATATGGAATTGATATTGTGTTTAAAATACATGTAGGCCTATACTTTTATATTGTCCAATAAATTAACATATTTTAAAAAGATTTACACTAGTACAGTTATAGCACATTAAACAAAGATGAATTTGACGGATCTTAACATTTGTATTTTCTAGAATCTAGAAATATCGGGATAATACTGTCATCGTGGGCTAATTTGGCCGCAGTAATCGATATTGGGAAAGCCTCATTTCAAATGTTCGTGTCTCATTAGTACAGATTGAGGAAAGTAAATGATTTAATGTGTTTGCAGGAAGATGGACAAGCTGCAGCAGGATAACCTGGAGCTGGTGAGGAGGCTGGCAGCTCAGGAGGAGGGTCTGAGCTACAGCAGCCGGCAGCTGGACCAGCGCTCCTCAGAGAGCCAGGCCCTCAGCCGGCAGCTGGAGAACGCCCTGTCAGACGTCAGGCTGCAGGTACAACAGATGAGGAAGATCGACAACACAAAAATCACTGAAGAAAAAGAAATCATTTAGTTGTTGTCCTATTAAGTGTCTTACCCCTGATGTTCCATTTTGAATGTTTAACCATACTTGTATGGTAAGCAGTTTAAAGCTTTAAAATGATTATTTTATGGTAAACTATTTATTGGCATCTACTAGGGCTGTACCCGAATATCCGAATATTCGTTCGTTGGAGTACTATTCGGGTTTCAATTTCGTTATTCGGATATTCGTTTTGTTTGTTTTTTCCCCGTTTCTTTTTCAAATTGAATTTATTGTAGATATTACTTTTCTCCGTTAATCTCCGTCACGTTGTTTCCAAAGCAACAACAACTTCCTGTCAACAGCGCTACCTCTCCTTCAAAATAAAAGCATGTCCATAAATAGGAAGCCAAACCAAATTACACTTAAGACATATACAACTGCAACGAAAGTAACAAACACAATGCAATATCCTTTTCAATTTCAAAGAACACAAATAGAGCCTGTATAGCCTACCTAGTTCCTGAATTGTCTATATTTTCTGTGCTTGCTGATATAACAATCAGTTTGACATAACTGTAACCTGGCACAGAGACAGTGATGATAATCTAAATGTTTTCACTTGTCCAGGTCAATAAGGTAAAAGACCAGGCTGTCTACAGAGAAGAGACGCTTCAGGCCAAAATCCTCGAGCTGGAATCTGAGAAGAGCAGAAGAGATAACGAGCTGAGGAATATACGCCAGAGCAAGCTCACTGTGAGTGCTGCTTCGGAGCCCTCGCGCTCATATAATACTGAATTCTGACTTGATATTACCTCTAATGGGTTTTTGTCGAGTGACTATGAGTGTCTGTTTCTTTATCTTCAGGCAGAGAAACGGTTTGAGGTTCGTCTGAAGGACCTGCAGCTCAGCCTGGACCAATCAGAGAGCCACAAGCAGAGCATTCAGAACTACGTAGATTTCCTCAAAAACTCGTACCAGACCATGTTTGATGAGGGACTGCAATCATCATGTTTTGAGTCAGCATATTTTCTAAAATGATTAAGGATTTATTTGCTTGCATTATCATTTTTATTTATTTAATTTGTGTACTATAATATTTATACATTCTTTTTTGAAAAATGTGATTGAAGGCAATACTTTTTTAAATATTCACTTCTACAATTAGCTGACAATCTTGAACAATTTCCTTCCAGAAATCAGGGACAGTTCTTGTTGCGTGGGGAGTTTCTATATCAGCTTTTAGCTCAAAAGACATGACACGATATTGTATGAATATGAACTCGTGGTGCTTCTGTATCCTATTCCCATTGGACAAGTCAGTTCCAAAATATATTGTGTGGATATTATTGACAGATTTATTTAGAGTTACTCAAAGTAGCCACAGATGTTTAAAGAGTTGTGAGTTGGTAACAGACATGTGCTGCTTTTCTGTGTTTATGATTTTAAATGAAATACCTTGGGGTTTTGGACTGTTGGACTAATAAAACAAGCAATATTAAGATGTGAGGTAGGGCTTGGAGTAACTAAAAGCCACAATTGCCTCACAATTTCTGATACTTATAGACTGATATAATGAATCCAAAATAAAAGCTGTATAACAGTAATGGGCCACAAGGTGGGGGTGTTTTGTTGAACAATCTTTTCACTTCTGTCAAGTGTTTCATTTTACCCACAATGCACTGTGCATTAGTCTTACCTTGGTCACCTTTTAATTGGTATATTCAACATAAAATGTTCTTGGACAATTGCAAGACAAGGTCTATATTTATGTAAATGGTTCCAGACCAATCTTGTTTTGTTTTTTACATCTCACTCTATAAGCAACTGTTAACCCTTTAACTGCCGAACCAAGAAAAAAAGCTATTGAAAAATTATTTTTTTGCATTTTATTATCAAATGGGCCACAAATAAGCATAAACACATTTTTTTTTTTTTGACTGACCACACAGTTTTGTTTTTATGAGCCTCTACCAAATGGTCGAGCTGGCCTTCTATGGTAAAAGTAATCATCATATACAGTACAGTATTTGTATGCATCAAACTCAAATAAAACACAAATTCAAATACATTTGTTTCTTTTATGGAAAATGAGCACTATATACAACCAGATATACTCATAAAAGATAATAAATTCTAATTGTAAAAAAAAGTCATGTAAAGTGTTTTTCATGATAAAAAAAATACTTGCTCATCTTACTGTAAATGCTGAATTGGCCTAACAGGAAACCACTGGCCTAACAGCAAATGTCTATATCCTGTGTTGGCCTAACTTGCTCATCTGTGTGCAATTTTGGGGTGAATGCCATGCATGAAAGGTGCTATATAAATTATTATCACTCTTTCACTCTGAGACTCATAAGGCAGTACTAGATTTAGTAATATTACCATGAATCTAGCCATTTATTTACCATATTTTATTGGAAAACATCTCTGAAACTCTGAAAAAGTCATATTGCTAGCTTACCATAAAAGGCCAATTCGACTGGTTGAGCATATTTTCAAAAAACATATTACACCCTTGTTAAAACTTTTTTTGTGCATCAAGTTATCTAATTATGTTCAGTCAGTGCCCTGCCACTAAAATATGTCAAAAATGATATGGTTACCTTACAAAAGTTGACCAAAAAGAGTGATTTCTTCAGCAGTGATTTTTAGCATTGCCAACTTTCTCAGTTGAAGCTAGCTGAAGGGCTTTCGGTTCGAACCACAGTGACATCTAGAGGTTGTTTTGTGCATAACATGTCAACCAAAGGGTAGAGCTGGCTGAATCAGATGGAGTTCAACTTTTTTTTTTTTTTTTCAACAAGATATCAAGACGCGAAATGTGCTCTACCAAATGGTGGTGCTGGCAGTTAAAGGGTTTTAACCAAAACTAGTATTAACATTTGAAAACTAAATGTAATGTTGAATATAGGCCTGCCAACTTCATGTGTGGTAGAATACACCTTGTTTTCATGAAATATTCCACAGCTTTGACTCATGCCTGGAAATTTGGAGCCCTGTCTGAATGCTTATTTATCTTTCTGATGCTGCACAAAACAGTAATTATAGAAAATAATTATGTGGTGCGTGTTGAGTCCCTTTATGTGCTGATTGTCAGCTGGACTGAGATGAATAATGCAGAAAATCAATAGTTAAGCTGTCAGTTGTGATGATCGTGCCTTCGGGCCTGAAAATATAATTACTAAGAAACCTGCAACACTGGGATGTTTCCAAACCGCTTGGTTGCTGCTTTGCTCTCCTGCCTTTGTGATGGTTTTCATATAAATGAGGCGTAGAAGCACCCATGAGGTCTCTTCAGGAGCAGGATTTACTTGCTTCCAAAGACTTACTCTTATATTGTACTTCATCTTCTTGCTCTGCTGGTATTGCTTTTGGCCCTGTACTGTAATCAGAGAGGCTCTGATGTGTTCTTGCAGTGGACGTACTGTGTTCCCCCCAGTGAGCAGTTCTCCTCTCATTTCTCAAATACAAAGCGCTATTGTTGAGTTCTCCGTCAGGGGATCAAACCACTTCATCTCTGTGTGCGTCAGTTCTCGTTTTATCCTCTTATTCCCGCTCTCTTGGTCTTGCCGCTTTACAAAGTTGCATTGATCACACTTTAGGAATTTGATATCCCCTTATTGTTTGATGGAAAAAAAAGTCTTACACGTGGCTGTTTGGAATCATGCTTCAGCACCATGACGGACACACCCTGAGCTTATGTGCTTATTAGACTCAAATTATGTGCTTATTAGACTCAAATTGGACCCTGTTCTTCTTTTTAGCTTGAACAATTATCAAAAACAAACAGAGGCCTTACTGTTGCATATAACAGTTTTCTTTGTTGGATGGAGAATTCACATTCAACATCCCTCTTTATATAAAATGAAGCAACGTCAGATCAATGTTTGTTTTCATCATTCTGATCATGAAAGAAATCAATATTAACAGCAACACATTTTACAATTCAGCATTATGTGAAGATGTTCCTCCGTTCTGCATGTGCAATGTAAGTTTAGATTATTCTCTATAACTTTTTCTTAAAACAATATCCTGCAGCTTGTGCTCAGCATCTGTCCGACATCAGGGAACCACTCTGACGTTCACATTACACTCATTCCTTTATTCCAGTAGCATGAGGGACAGCCAGATGCAGCTGAAACAGTAGAACTCATTTCCTATTTTCTTACAACAGACCATGAGAATGTCTTTTCAGATGATTGTATGCACCAAATGATTTTCTTTCCCCCCCCCCAAAAAAAAAAGATTACACTTGAATACTGCAGTGTTTTATGTTTTTATTTGTAAAAATATAAAAATGTGCATTGACAACATTCTAGTTAATTGGTCAAACCTGCATAAAGTACAGTTTAATCCAGCCTTCAGCGATATTTAACCCTTTAGGCAAGTGAGCGTATAAAATGCCAAAAAAATAGAATCAAACCATATCCCATGATATGATATAACAATACATTAAGCAGTATGAGATGTATGCAACATTAACCCTTATAAATAAAATGGGCAAGCACAGTAAATCAACAGAAACATGGTGACATGTGTAATGACTTTGATTTAGTAGCTGCCTTTATGTCATTTCAATGTTGTAACATGTCTTGTCAAGGTTGGGTAAAATATGTACAGTCTGTGTATAAAATAAAAGTCAATAACATTTTATTTACATTTAATACTAGTAAGATTTATTTTACAAAACGGCTTCAAAAAAGAAGCAAACCACAAGGCTCCATTGTCATGAAGCAAAATCTGAAAAAATACTGATAAAAAATGTCTCCTCTTCAACCACAAAGTGCAAATGTTTCTACTGTCCAACACTTTTCTTTCACACTTAACCCTTTACATGTTCAGTTTGTGGATATCATTATACAGTTTGTAGCTAGATGTCTTTCCTTTGCTGCCGGAGCAGTTCAGGTCACACTTGCAGGACTCGATCTTCGTCACCATCCTGCTGGTGATCTCCTTGTTTCTGCATCTGAAGAGGACGGATATGGTCTGGGTCCGGTCCGGCCTGCAGCACCGGCCGTCTGAGCAGAACCCACAGAACCTCGGCTGGAACTTCTTCAGACTACGGCAGCCTGCGTGGGACAGTCTAACCGGACGGCTGGCCTTCTCTATGTAATTACACTTCTGGTCTTTCTGTTGGAGGAAATCAAAAGCATTTAAAAATATAATTTACATTTAAGATCTCATTCAACAAGTCATGCTAAGAGTACAAAGTGACATCAAATTGAATCATTCTTAAAATTAGGAAAATGAATGTACCTTTGATCCTGTAAAGGTCATTTGGTTGCATGGGCGGACTTCACAGATCCGAGTCTCTTTCACCACTCGGCACTCTGAGTTGTTGTTGGTCATCCTGCTGGACTCTCCAGTGCCGCAGGATTTGGAGCAGGGAGACCAAGTTGAGGTCTGAGACACACATTTGACTCTTCTGGATAACATGTGGCCCATTGGGAGGCTCTCAAAACCTGCAAAGAGGGAAAAAGTCAGATTAAAGAAGAGTTTAAATTCAGAAATCTCATGCACATACAAGTAAATGTGAGGAAAGGCTTTGTTTATATCATAAATCTTTTGATAGTTCTTGCTAAACTGTAGACATAACAAAACAAATGTAAGGTTACAAACTAAGGCCTATTTTTACAGGTTCTTTTAACAAAGATTTTGAACTGCACAGTAAAAGCACATACAAACTGTAAAGGCATTGTAAATAATCCATGTAAAAATACAACTAAACTACAGAAAATCATTATAATGTATGTTATTTCAATGTATTTTTTCATCATCTTCTGGTTGCCCCTTAGTTTGAGAATGTTGCACTTTGCTTATTATTGTCATGTGCAATTGTTTAATAAAACGAAAATCTCCTGCACAAACATTTCCTTTAGCATCGCCACTATAGAAGGATATTGTGTAAAGCTGCTCACCAGGTAAATAATTAGATTCTCCTTTCCACACAGGAGCCAGCTCATTCATCTTGTTAAGGTCGTCCTCAAACCGTCCGTCTTTGCTGTGCTTTTTACTGTGTTTGTTCCCAAAACCGCTCTCTGTCTTTGCCTCCCCGTGGCAGGCGAGTTGTTCACAGCACCGACCCTGAACCTTCACCCTCTGGGGCTTGGCACAGCCCAGTTTGGGCAGCGTGAGCTGGTGAGGGCAGAGTGAGACACATCCAACTGCTCCGTCCATGCAAGTGCACTGATGTTTGCAGTTTGGACGGAATATTTCCCCGTTCTGGTAAATCTTGTTGTTGTACTCGCATGTTCTTCCATCTGATTTGGCTAGAAACAAGATAGGGTTTTAAATAAGAAAAGCAAAAAGACACAGTGGGTGAATTCACAAAAATAAAAGAAATCATTAAAGTACCTCGACAGATGCCCTTAGCAGAGCCATATCCTGCTCCGAAGTTGCACTCCAGTCCCTTGGTGTGGTCACATGGCTGTGACTTGCTGCAGTCTTCAAATAGCTGACGTGCACAGACTTTACAGCATCCACAGCCACCCAGCATGACTCCTGCTGCACATCTGGGAGAGTCAGCAGGACACCGGCAGTCCTTCGGGCACAAGGCTGACACCTGAGAGGAAACATTTCTGATTAAAACGTTGCTCCAAATCTGGTCCCCTTTTAACAGCTAAGATTTTGAATGAAAAGTAATTATTTCCTCACCAGTTTGACGCAGAGGATCACAATAACAAAGTATTTCAACATCTTCAGAAGAGGAATGTAACTTTCCTGAGTAAAGAAGTCTGTCTATAAAACACCAGACCTGGCAGTGAGTGTTTGCTCTCCTTCTTTTCAAGTCCACATCTCCTTTTATACCCTCGGAGCAGATCTGACGTGTGCACGGGCTGAAGAGGTGTCCAGAAACTATGAGAGGAATGCTTCCCCATGAGTCCTCCCATATGACACCCCCCCCCCNTCCTCTCTCCTCCTCTCGGTGAGCCAAGAACCACCCAGTGTATCCTCCATTATTTCAGGGCTTCCTCTCCAAAGTAACCATGTTATTATCATTTCTTTATATCTGTTCTGTAATCATGAAGTTACTCTTCTGCCATGAGGTAAACCAGTTCCTGAAATCATTATTTCTATGTGACAAAACACTATAAATACAAGTGGCCTCCAACTTTTTCTGAATTGGAAATAGATCATTATTTCAAACAAAGCATCACATTGTTTTCTGCTATGCATTTAACTTAAAATACATTTTAACTGGACATTGTATGTGTAATTATTTTAAATATGAGGACATGTTAAAGTTATCTAATTCTGTTTTTGTTTTTTTAATTGTGTTTATTGATGTTTCGCTGGTTTTGTTCAAACTTTTCTGTCAGGTATGAGACTGTACTTGCGTAAATAAAGCATAAAGAAAGGAACAAAGTGTACTGGTGTGGTTAAGCAAAGGACAAAAAGAATACTTTCCCAGAAATATCAGCCTCATGCATGGGAGCAAAGCCCCACAAGGGATTCAACATCGGGGCACCACAAGTTTGGACATAAATATTGAAGGAAAGCTACATATTTCTATGACCAACTGGATTTCTATCTTGGTGGGAGCAAGTGTTTAGACTGCTGCACGTTGTCTGTGATCGGTGTTTGTATTCTCTAACCTCACAACTAGTGTTAAAAGTCACAGGTGAAATTCTTGTCAGTCACCAATAAGGGCGCGGATGGATTAGAGTTTGTCTGGCTTAAATATTTAAAAAAGAAAAAAAAGGAGACAAAAGCCTCGTGGAATGTTTAAACCCGTAGGAATCCTTTGTTCTCTGAATGAGAAACACACCAAAAAGAAGGAGAAGAAAGAAAGAAGAAATGCCTGAAGCAACATTCCAGTCAGGATGAACTTTAAAGACTTCTTTGAAATAGCTGCCAGGATAAAAAGCATCCTCTTCTATCCACATCAAAGAACAATGCAAGTTATCAGGGAAGAGTGCCCTTCCTTTCATTATAACCTGTGGGAACAAGACGCTGTCAGACGGGCACAGACTCCCCTCTTATCTAACAGAGGTTACAAGGGCCAGTTTGAATCAGCGCCAATGCAGCAGATGAAGCGCGAAAAAGGACCAGCTTGGCGCATTCACAGACGCTTGAAAACTGTTGTATTTGAGGGTGGAAACTTTTAAGCTGTAATATAAATAATTAGCAGAACCATGTTAGGTAAGAGGAACATATCGGACATATAATGCAGCTGGAAGATTTCTGACTTAACCTGTCAAACATCCATGTCCCAACCTCACAGAGCAGCATGTGGATGAGTCTGAAATGTTATAAAACTAAAATGACTCCCAAGGACAGGTCAGAGATCAGGGTGAGTTGGCAAAAGACTTGGTACCATGCTCAGGGCAATGTGTGCAAGGCAAGGTTTTTTTAGCTGCTGCCAGACAAACTAAAAGTTTAAGGCATACATTGACATTTTGGGAAATAAAACATTTTTTGTCTGATTTTAGCCACCCATATTAAGTCAACACGAAAAATGTATGTGTGTGTGCCGCTGTTATATCAACCACAACTTTGTTTTCGTGTGGGTCAATCAAAGATACATCTTGGAAATTACTGAGTTTAGGAGGAAGAGGTGGAGATATTTTAGATTTTAAGTCACACTGGCAGTTTCCCCTTTTTTCTAGTCTTTATGCTTAGCTAGCTAATCTCCTCCGGCCATCTAAAGCTTTTACATAAGCATGTTTCCTAAAATGCTAAACTATTCCCTCAAACAGTCTTAATAATAAGTCCATATTAGGAGCATTTTCTTTCATCTTGATGCCAATTTCCTGTGTTAATCCATTGTAACCGTAAAGCCGGATTCAGCTGTTTTATAAGAAATGTTCTGAAACCCATTCTAGAGATTATCCTGATTATCCTGTCTGCAAGACTTTTATCTTCTTCACCCACTTATTTATTGTGATAGTTGATACTGCAGCATCCAACTGAAATGAAATCACTTCATAGTTAAGTTCTTTATTTAGTTATTTTATCTCTAGACCCTTTTTAAAGATGACCTTTAAGGGAAAGGTGGGTGGGCAGATACGGGACGGCATGGAGAAGAGAAAAAAGTGTAATTTCATGCTTAAATGCAAGAAAGAGAAAAACAGACAAAATGTGGGATTCATATTCTGTGTGGCAAAAACATTGGCAACAGAGAGCGGAAAGGCAGTAATACATGTCCAGTGCTACTCAGTGTAAAACCACAATTGGACTCAGACAAGTTTATTTTGGCCATGCTGTGAGAGCGGTCATTCACCGTGCGACAGACGGAAATGTCTGCGAGGATTTGCAGATATGATTGCAAATTCTGTTCATTACGTCATTTCATAAATGACTTTCCCTTTCTTTGTTTCTCATTCACAGATGCCCCTCACAAGTCTGTACACTGGGTACGTCTGAATCTCTAACAGCTGGTTCACCATTATTTCCAGACTGACCCTCTGCTGTTTAACAGGAACGATATGACAAAGCTTTTCCGGGAAAAGTGGGCATCTATTGTCAGTATCTGAGGATGCATTGTTGCCATTCAACTTTTTTTGGCAGAAATAGGCTTAATCAAATACAGTTTGACCTTTTAACACCTGACATTTAAAGGGCATCTTTCTGCTGTAATTCTCCTCCAGACATTGTTGGGATAGAACAGCAGCCACATCATAATGGGAGCCTGTATTAAGTCCTGTATTTTAAATCCTTATTGCCACACAGAAATACCTTCGGGCATGCAACAGAAAGTCATCCCCTGATGTACAGTTCTGTTTGGTGTTTTCCCACAGTACATTGGATTGCAGGACATGACAAAACAAGCCTGACAACAATCTCCTTAGGGAGCAACCGTCCTCAAACCGTTTGTGGCATAGTGTGATTAGAGGGGGGTGAAAATCTTGTTTTACAATTTTGCAATTTATTTCATGCCTAATTGGGTGTTATCTTGGTGCTTCTCATGCACTCCCGTTCACTTTGTGCTTTGATTCACGCCTTCCCTACCTATCCCCTGTGACAGTTTACAGTTGCTTCTTATTCTTGGACTGTATCTATCTTCCAACTTTGGTTGCAAGAAGAAAGTAATACAAGTCTATACAAAATACATTTAATGATGCAGAACTGGATGACAGCTGTATTAAATGACATGATGGTAAGTGACCTGCATTTACATACAGTATGTACACGTTTGAGGTAGTTGCAGTTACTGTTTTACTTTGTAGATTCAGATTTTGGAAACAAAACATATGATCAGTTGTATTACATGATGCGGTTCTTTTAAATAAATCACCTGACATTGGAAGTTACAATGGGCTATGCTAAAACACTCAATAAAGCATCAGTAATTATAATCCAATAATATAATTGAGTTCATAATAATAATACACATTCAAATAATTATAAACACTATTCAACAAGCAAATGAAGGTGGATAAAAGAATGAATGCATGACTTCTTGTAACAGTATTTAACAATGTGTTGTTTTCTTAAATACTCACACAGGTGTTTCCACTTAATCAGGCTGATTACACATCCACTTGGACCAACTGCAGTGTATGCTGGGAATCACGAAAGGTCACTGAACGCATCACAGCACCAATAGCTGTCATGTATTACTTTTTGGATGACAAGCTGTACATGCCAACACAGTTTTATAAAGAGTCTATTAGGGCAAAAATAAATGAAAACACCTGTGTTAGTGTGCCTGTGTGCAGGACCTTTCATTGGTTACTTCTTTCACCACTGCATAAAAAAGTACAGTTGCCAGGCTGAGACTGGTGGCTAGAAGAGATGATTTTACGGTTACGGTGTATATTAACAAAGCAAATACAGCTTTAATAACTATGTAAACAAAAATAAATCATTAATGGAACATATATGGCAACTATTTCATATGTATTTGGGCAACTTCTCCAAAGTACCTGTAGTTGACAAATAGCAATAAATGGGAATATTTTAAGACAGTAGTACTACATCCTGAATTGTATATATATTGAGGTATGTAATATATCTCAGTAAGCTTTGTACTGTTGGTTGGACAAAATAAACCTTGTTGAGACTCTGGTTAATAGTGACAGCATTTCCCACTAATTTCAGAGTTTTACAAACGAATCAAAGTCAATTAATTGGAACAATAATCAGTAGATTGATGCATAATCAAATTATGGTAAATTGCAATCCAATGCGAAAAAGTTGAAATTGAGCTCCAACTACAACAGCAAAATCCTGTTTATATAAATGGATTGCTAAAAATAATCTAATGATATTAGTCTACAGTCACATTGAGTAGCCTATATTATTTTAATTATACCCAAATAACTTTTTCTGTTTATACTTACATACGTTTACTTAGGTAACTCAAGACTTTTACTTGTATCATAGTATTAACTATATACAGTATACGAGTATTAAACAGTGTAGGCCTACTATTACTTCCTCCCAGTGGCTGCTTCCTCCACCATTTGTTGTAAATAACCCATGGATGTATAACAAGATAACAGCGACGCCTAGTGGACTAGACCAGAACTGCACTTCACCTTTATAAACATTTAATCTCTCTCGCACGTAATCAACACGAATCAAAACAAAGAACGTTTACAAGATAATAATAGCTTAATTCAGCATTTGGATTTACGTTTTTTATACATTCTACACATTTTAAAATATACCTAACTAATTCAGCTCTTAGTGTGAAACAGGTTTTCTGTGTGTACTTCTCTTCTGGTGTCGACGTAAACCTGCACAGAATCAGGAAGTCCGGGGATTTTCCGAAAAATAAAAGTTGAATGGCCAAACGACACGCCACTTGTTAACGACACATAATGAAGAGCCACATTTGTTAACGCGTACGGTTGACTTTTCGATGTAGTTAGTTTCATTATTACTTTCTTGTTAATTTATCTTAGTCGTCATTTGTCAACCGAAACACCTGGATTTTCACTTTGCGGGTCAGAGGGATGGACGTTCCTCACCTCACTGAAGAGGAAATGGCAGAGATTAAAAAAGACGTGAGTAGGTTACATCAGTCAAAGCATGGTTACCAATAAAGAATTATTCGGATACGTTCAGTTATGTGGGAAAAGCCTATCGATACACTCTATGCTGCCACTTTATTTGTGCCTTGTTTGGCGTTAAAGGCCTTCAAATGAGGAAATACCCCACCACACCTTCACTGTGCCCACTTGCAACACTCACTTCTCTAGGGTTGATAAGTAGGAAATTAGTATATTTTACTTAGCAATAATTAAAATGTTACAAGTAAACTCTGCATTTGAATGTTTAGTGAAAGTACAACATTATTAGTATCAATAGGATACTAAGAATCAATGTGTTCATCACTTTGTTATTGCAGCAATTTTTTTGCTGATTGCTTAACCTTCTTAATATATCAAACTTTAGCAGTTGGTTTGTTAACTTAAGCTTCAAACACAAAGTGGAGTAAAAAGTATAATATTTACCTTTTTAAAATGAAATGAAGTAGCATTAAATGGAAATACTCTAAAAGTACAAGTGCTGTAAAATGTTACGTTGTACCACTTGTAGGCCAACAACAACATCATTGACACACAGGTTGGAGTTTGAGTACATTTTTTTCTAAATACTGACAGGGTTGCTCAGTCTGACTCATCAAAAGCACGACCAGAAGCTAACACAGCGAAAGACAACTATTAATATATGCCATTTATTTTAGACCACCTGCAAGAGAAATTCTACCTTATTTAGTCGTTGGTGGGGGAAAACCTGCATATTTTCCCGCCTTCCCTATTCATACCATTTCTCCTCCTGTTTAGGGCCTGTACCGCTCAGTGCTCACTCTGTTCCCTTTTTTCCTCCAGGTGCTGATCAGAATGCGGCACTACCTCTGCGAAAAGATCCGAGCCGAACGCCACCTCGACTTCCTGCGCTCCCGCAGGATCCTGACCCGAGACGATGCGGAGGAGGTCAGCTGCAGGACCACCCAGACCAAGAGGACGGCCATGATGTTGGACATGCTAGCGGAGCACCCCCGAGGTCTTGATGCCTTGGTTGACTCCATAAGAGATTCACGCTCACAAAACTTTATCATCACCAAAATCACAGATGAGGTGCAAAAGGCCAAAAACGAGAAGATCGAGTCTCTGAGAGGTTAGTAGACCAATTAAATCTGGTGTGTACCTTTTTAAATCTAATATATGTTCTTGATGCTTTAACTTTGTCTGTTTTTAATCCTGTGATGCACAGCAGTGGCTTCCAGTTCCCCGACTGACAGCAGCTTCAGCTCTCTAAACACAACCAGCAGCCTTCTCCCGACGTTTTCCAATAACTCCACAATGCTCTTGCACCCAGACGGAGAACGAAGCTCTTCTATTTCAGGCTTACCAGGCTCACTTAACCTACCATCAATACAGAAAGAGGACTATTTGTCCTCTGGTGTTGGTGCTAGCGTCGGGGTAGTTTCCTCCAGAGCCTCCTCCATCCTCCCGCGGCCTGGAGACCCCGGAGCTCCTCCGCTGCCGGATGATGTCACAGTTGAATCCCCCTCTAACATAGATGCCGGAGTGCCGGGATGCACCAGTACCGGGGGGGACCCAAACTTCCAGCCTCTCCGATCGCGCTCTCTTACTCCAACATCACACAGGGGGAGCATCTTTTAATTTCACATCTCTATAAGACACTCTTATGCAGTAAAAGGGAAAAACCAACAGAATCCTCAGTTACTTAATCTAGTATCCAAATCGCTGTTTTTGGTGTGATGTCTTTTATTAGGGAGAAATTGCTGTACATGGGAAATACTACTACTATACCAATCAGCTATCTACAAGGGGGAAAAAGGACAATTTGTCACTTTCGCTCAAGTATTGTTTGAAATGTTTTGATACTGGTGCCAATCATTACCTTAGTTTTAATACCAGGCCAAAATAAAACCATAGTTCTAAGAATATTTACAAAACCCTTTTTCTTATTTAACTAAAGAAGACACACTTGTTAAATGTGCTTTGAATAAAAACAGGTGTACAAGAAAATAAATGCAGGTTCAAATTGACAATTATGTTTTTTAAACTTAAAAAAATAAGTAAAGAACAATTTAAGTAAAGCCTCGATTCCAGCTTTTAGTACTTCGCAATTTTCGATACTCATGCTTTAAACTATATATATATATATATATAAGGCATATACAGCAAGTAATGATTCTCAAAGCATGAGCTAAGAAAAATGGATTCTCCTTTTCTACTCTTATTATATCAAAGGTGCGATTTCCTGATGTTTGGTGTGAATGCATGGCAGCTACAGTTTATGTGCAGTTTTTGTCACTACAGTCTTGAATCACAAAACATGAAAAAAACATTGTCCCAATTGTCTTAACTGGTCGTGTACTATAATCTATTGCATACTAAAGGTTTTCTTTATGCGTACAACTTGTGTTTTCTTTCTTTATTTGTTAATGTGTGGTGGCTCAGGGGCAAAATAAAATATAGTTTATTTGCTGATTTCAGGGCACTTTAAGATGACAACCTTTGGCCTATTTGATTTTTAGTTGGTCTGCAAAAAAAGACAATACAATATTAATTCCTCAGAGAAGCCTACAGACAGTATGGTGCGTGAGCAGTGATTCTGTAATTGTTATGGAAAAACTGGAACGCTTCAAATGACGCAGAGGAATGACATGACATGTCTTTGTGGTGAAGGCTGGTGTGACTGCACTGATCTTCGTAGACAGCGCATAAACCTGGATTTTTGAAACCAGTCACTCTCTGGCACGCTGGTGCACAGCAGGTAATTCATTTATTATTATTATATATTCACTTTTTCTTAAAAGGTTTACCATCTGTCCTTCATATTTATCTCAGTAAGTGTATTAGAATAGTTTCAATGTATGTGTCTTTAACTTTTATTCATTTTTGATGGGTTTCATGATTGTTTCAGTTTTCATTTAATAGGGAAGTATTTAAAGTAATTTGTTGTACTAAAAATGTCGGCATGTGTTGCCTAGTGCATTTTGCTGCTGCATGCCAGTCTGTGATAATAAGTCATTGTTAATCATGGTTAAACATAAAACAATATGAATGTTTAAAAACCCTTTTCTTCATGGGTATAGAACATTATATCCTATTTTAGCACAATAAGTTTGCACCCAAGACTGAGATGCAGGAGAACCAGTTAGATATACATCACTAGATAGACTGGAATGTGAACTTTGCACTATATTTCATGAGACAGGATGTAAATGTTGTTGGCCTAAGTAAATGTATTTTTGCAGTGAGTGTGAATTTGTTTGCAGCTGTATTCAATTTTTTAAAAACCAAACTCTCTAAAGCAGTACAATTGTGCACTGTACTTGAGAATGATGGATGAATCAGAGCCGCTGTTGGCCTCGAGGTCAGAGGAGAGGAGGCTGAACGGACTTTGCAGCAGCGCTCCCCCCCGGACCCTGCAGTCCAAGGTGGTGGAAGACTTCAGACGGAGGCTCAAGTACTTCTTCATGAACCCCTGTGAGAAATACACAGCCAGAGGCCGCAAGCCATGGAAACTCATGTTACAAGTATTCAAAATTGCAATCATCACAGCCCAGGTACTATATACAGAACTTTGTGATAGTGTTGTTTTGTCATTAGGCATGAATGAGCATGAGTTATCGATATGTTTTTGTCTCAAATGTGTTTTTTTTCCTTCTCTGCTTCAGTTGGTCTCTTTCGGCCTGAGTAACGAAATGATGGTCACCTTCAAAGATGAAAATCTGATGACATTCAAACATCTGTTTCTAAAAGGATACAAAGATCAACGGTTGGGGAGCTATGCACTGTACACAAAAGAAGATGTGTATGATCACATCTACTACGTTATTAACGGGGTACTCACATTTTGGATTTGGGTTGAGTTGTATATCAAATGGGAATTTCCTGTGTGAAAATGTGTGCTTCACTCTTCTTCCTGCATTTTCCTTCAGTATATCAATCTCCAAAACCTGACTGTTGGTAATCTGGCATACGAGAGTGTTGATGGCCAGTACACTCCTCTGTCTGTCTGCCAAGAATTTTACAGACACAGCAGCATCGATCCAGAAACTGAGACCTTTGACATTGATCCACATATTGATAAAGGTACAAAAGCACAAAACAATCCATATAAATAAAAATAAATAAAAAATTAAATCATAAAATGGAAACATAAAAAGCTGTGGAACTTGTATTTATGTCTAAAAGCCACCATGAGTTGTATATTGTTTGCTGTATTTATAGAATCTGATTCATACCATGAATGGAAAATAATCACAATGTGGATTAACTTGTGACTCCAGAAAGAGGAAGTATTGTATTCAGGCTGATGTATTCCTCTGTTGAAATATTCACTGAAGTCTAACTGCTTTTTAAATGTACCGCCTGTATTTCCTCCTCACAGATTGTATTTCCATATATCCTGTGCAGGCGTTTGATGGCAGTGGTTTGGGTGCACATTTAAACTTCTCTATAGATTTTAAAAGGTGACTAAACTAAGGAAGCTGATTTCATGGCGGGTGATGAGAGTACTGCCTGCTAATATGTTTGTGTGTCCAGGCTGCTATCTGTGAACATCTACCTTACTCTGAAAACAATCAACCTGCAGACTGTGCGGCACCACGAGCTACCGGACTGCTATGACTTCAATATAATAGTTGGTGACAATGACGGAGAAATATCACTCATTTATCTGATCATTTAGGACATTTCACTTGGCATACATAATATATTCTTAACATGCCACTTAAATGAGAAATCTTTTTTTATACAGATCAAGTTTGACAACCGTGCACACAGTGGGAAGATAAAGGTTGATGTTGAAAACGATGTAAGAATTTATGAATGCAGAGACTGGAATGTGGAAGGCACTTGTACGTTTTCCAAAATATCACATTTTATTCAAGCATTTGATTTATTATGACCCAGCCAAAGAAAGGAATGGCCAGCAAGGGGAGCATTGATATTATTCTGTAACCTTTGACACCAGTATGATCTTACTCAGTATGTTCTCTGGTTTCTAGCTGGTAAGAATGATTACCTCCTCCTGTCGTTTGATTCTGTGGTCATCCTCGCCTGCTTCCTCTCTCTCACCCTCTGCACGCGCTCTGTCATCAATGGTCTCCAACTCCAGTTTGTAAGTTTATGAGGCACAAGTCAATTATTACCAATCATCACTGATACATGTCCAGGATTTTGCTATGCAGCTAAAACTGCAGTTTAGCCATGATGTCATCCAAAAAGTAATACATGACTGATTTAATCATAATATAATAAACCAGCATCATAAACAGGACTTTAGTTAGACGCTGAGGTCATGTCTTTTTCAAGGGGTTTGTGGGACTTGTTATTTATAATTATACACTTATAAGCACACACATGCTTGTTAATGAATAGACACATTCCAGGTTTTTTAGACTTAATATTTTCAAATGCGATTGCCCAAAAGCCTTTAAAACTTCAATAAATTAAGGATTCACCTTTTTATTCAGAAATTGTGTGTTTATTCAGTCTTTAATATTGTACAGAAAATATCACTAAGAAATATTAATGTCATTTTCTTATAAAGGATTTTTTGAGGGTGTTACATTGTGAGAATTTAAAGTTGCCTATTATTGTTGTGTCAAGGTCTGGGTCAGTATTTTTTATTTTTTATTTAAGATTCAGCCCCCCGTCATCAAAGAAAAGGACACACTTAAATAATTCCATTAAAAAAATATAGCACTTCAGCCATCATGTTTAGATCCTGGATTGTTCTTACAATATGATAATTTTCTCTCATGCAGGAGTTCAACACATTCTTCCAAGCATACTACAATAAAAGTGTCTCTTGGTCAGACCGCATGGAGTTTGTGAATGGCTGGTACATCCTCATCATTGTCAGTGACATACTAACTATCGCTGGGTCAGGGCTCAAAATTGGAATACAAACAAAGGTTTGTTGTTTATTGTACTTTATTTGCTTTATTTACAGGTTCACTGTTTGGAATTTGGACTGGGCATAAAGGCAATGGGTTAAGAGTATCGGCCTATAACTTGTACTTCTTTGATACATATGTTTTCTTTCTTTTCTCTTGCAGTACCTGACAAACTATGACGTGTGCAGTATCTTGTTGGGAACAGCCACACTGCTCGTCTGGGTCGGCGTGATTCGTTACCTTGGGTTCTTCAAGAAATACAATGTAAGCACTTCAAATGGTTTTTGGTTTCTCGATGATTCATCAGACAATTAAGCTGAAGTAGCAAATGCATATCTTAATTAACTAAACACTTCTTTATTCCTTTCTAGGTATTAATCTTGACCCTAAGGGGAGCGTTCCCAAATGTGATCCGATTCTGCTGTTGTGCGGCCATGATCTACCTCGGGTACTGTTTCTGTGGCTGGATCGTCCTTGGGCCTTACCATGAAAAAGTATAGAAATTATAATCATAATCAATCTTTTAAAGGTGTCAAACTGACCTAATAAATCCCCCACGCATCTGGGAGCTCTTCTGGTGACACTGAAATATGATCAACATTTTTTTTCAGTTTCGAACACTGACCAAGGTGACAGAGTGCCTCTTCTCTCTCATCAACGGGGACGATATGTACGCCACATTCCTACATTTGAGGAACGAGGCCGGCTACATGGTGTGGCTTTTCAGCAGAATTTACCTCTACTCCTTCATCTCCCTCTTTGTCTACATGGTGCTCAGCCTGTTCATCGCTCTCATCACTGACACCTACGAGACAATCAAGGTCAGTCTGAGTCACTTTTCTGATAAATATTCTCTCATCTTTCTGTAGAGAAATGTTTTTTGAGACTTGTTTTGATTTGTCTCTGCACTTTTCCAGCATACCCAGCAAGAAAAGGTGCCAGTGTCCCAGCTTCAGGTCTTCATAGCAGAGTGCAGGGACCAGCCTGATTCTGGAAGATATCAGACTGAGGAGGAGTCAGCTGCCTGCTGCCTCTCCCCATGCTACTGCTTTGGCTGAAGTGCGAAGATTGTGGCTTTTACCTTTTTTCCAAGACTTGACTAAAATAATAAGTATAGGGAACAAGTCTAGAGTCCGTCTGCATGGAGAATTTGATTATAGCCTATATGATGCATGAGGAGAATGCGAGAATTTCTTCTGACCAAAGTAGAATGTCTTTGACCTGCTTTACTTGAATTGCTAATCATTAAAAAGGAAAGTGCTTACATGACCAGTAATGTCACCAAACTGTAATTTCATTATGAGTGTGCACCCACAACTACTACAACTTGGTACCTTTTTTTGGATTGCTACTGTGTATTTGTTGTGGATTATAAAATAAATCCTGTTTTCGCAATTAAGTGGATTCTGACTCATTATATTTATATCTACATTATTAAACTGTACTTGCCTATATTTGACAATATTTTCATACTAACAACAATTGAATTATTCAAGCAAAGTAGGCTAGAAGTGCATCAAAGTAAAGAAATATATATATCAAAATCAGAATCACAAACAGGTTTATTGCCAAGTAGGTTTGCATATACGAGGAATTTGCCTTGGTGTACTGTACAGTACATGGTGTATCATCAACACAGTTAAAGATTATATAAAGATAACAAAGAACAAATGTAATAAAAACTATTGAAACTATTATACGTTAAGATACAGAAAACATATTTAAACGTGATCTGGATATATAAAAAAAGAAACTACGTGCAGTATACTATTGCCAAGTACTTAGAATGATTAATAATAAAAAACATAGACCTATTGTTGTTATGGAAAGTGGATGAGAGCTAGAGTGCTTGTGTGCAGATTTGCAAATATTTTGAGTATAGGTATATTGCAGTCTGCTCCATTGATAAAATGTGAAATACAAATTATAATGATGATAATACCAAAGAAAAGCGTCGTATAAATTCAACCAATGGCAACTGGGTATAAGAAAAGGAAAATGACCTACAATGAGATCCAGCAGGTAGAGATGGCATTTACCTCCTGCTGCCATAGGAGTGCCACCTGACAGCATTTCTCATTTGCATAATCGTCCTCTGCATGTGTTCATATCCAATGCACGGCTCACTTACTGGTTGCTTAACAACGCTGCCTCCAATAACAGGGCCGATTGGTGTGAAGGCAGCGCAGGAATAGACTTTAAAAAAACACACAGAAGCAACAGCAGCGTACTGGCATCTCTCTGCATGCTCCGTTCACAACTTCACACTGAAACAGGTGAGATTTGGTCTTGTTTTTGCTGGCGACAAGGTGACGAGTGAACTCAGGACGGGGGGTTCTGGTCTTTCGATAAAGGAGCATTTTGTTCGTTTCGAAAACCTTACTAAACTTGGCAGGTGTCGGATTTAGTTGACCCACTTCACGCCGCTCCCGTGAGTATTTAAACTTAGCATGCAGCTATTATCCAGGTTAGCAAAAAGCTACGACAGCAGTCAGTTTGTTAATTTAACGTCTAAGTTTACATTAATGTTATAAATCTTGACGTGTGAGTTAAGCTGACGTATACTAACCAACTAACATTACTTAAACGTTAAAGTTGATGTTAATATGTCACATTGTCACGAAAACACAAGGCATTAACGTTAGCACATTAGCTAAGTTACCTGGTAATTTAACGTGTCTAACTTTAGCCAATTTAACTGCTTTTAAGTTAACCTTACTGTCCACGTTAATGCATGACGACAACTTTAACCAGAGGTGTAAGAAGTCCTCAGATGTAATAGTAGAAATACTACAGTGTAAAAATACTCTGTTACAAGTCCTGTATTTCAAATCTTACAAGTACAAAAGTATTGGCATCAAAATGTACTTAAAGTACCACAAGTAAAAGTATGTTTTTTTTAATGCATTAATGTGTTCCTCACAGCTGGTAAATGTGGAGTTAATTTAATTACTTTGTTAACTGCTGCTCGATATCTTAACCTATAGTTAGATATCATACTTTATGTATTTATTTAATTTGTTTGTATTAGCAAAGTTTACAATTTGAATATTTAAAGTAATTAGTAACTAATTTCGTTGAATAAATGTAGTAGAGTAAAAAGTTAAATATTGGCTTCCAAAATGTAGTGGAGTAAAAGTATTAAGTAGCATGACGACATGGAAATACTTATAGAAGTACAAGTACTGTAAAATCGTACCAACGTACATTACTTGAGTAAGTGTACTTCAATACATTACACAAATGCTTTTAGCTTTTATGTAAAGTAAAGGTAAACCTACTATATTTAGCTGGAGAATACTTTATCTCCGCCTCAGTTTGTGTAGCTTTAGATAGGAGCTGTGCATGTGTTCTTGTTAGATAACAACATTGAATTGAGTTTTGCTGTGATGCACATTGACACAAAGAGCAGACACTCTTATTGACTGTTAGTTTTTATTGACCTCACCAACATGTTGCTCTCCCAAGCTTTGACTGTTGCATTACATGACTCCCTTTTGTTAATCAACACAAAGTGCACTATAGCCCATGGCCCTATGACTTGGTGCATTTCAGTGCATCATAAAGGTGTGGGAGATAACTGGTTCAGCTTGTTTCAACATTATTGTCCTGAAGGCACATACGCAACAGAAGCCCTCCCTTATTTAGCCTGTGTGCAATGGATTCCCTTATTTTTATCTCTGTAAATATTTTGGTTTATGCTGAGATCATCTTACTACCCTGCAATTTAGTTGGCAGTGACCACTAGGAGGGCCTAAACCCCCACTGGCACACATTGGTCAGTTAATCCTGTGTGGTTGCAGCAGCAACCCAGATTATCTGTTGCTGGTCCATCTCATGACTTGCTGCTCTATTTCAGGGCTCAGTTCCAGTGGTAGCTTCTGATCCACGCCTGACTGCTAATCCGTCTGCCGTTTGGTAACTCATGTACTCGCATTCCTGTGTGCGGATGTGTCGGTGATATGGGAGAGTGGTGGACAACTGTGCCAATAGGGACTTCTATGGGTACGTTTCTCTGATAATGTTGGGATGTCTTTGGTGGAATATGACAAGAATAGAATGGCTCATCAGCTATGCTTTTTTAGAGGTGACCCAAATGTTGTTCTCATTTTAGAGCTGCAAACTAGTCCAAGCCTCTCGGTGTGAAATGTACTGTGGATATAATGGGACTTGCTCTATTTTTTAGGAAACGATGAGATCTCCAGCATATCACATGTGACAATGTCGCCCTCGAGACAGAACAACCTCGTGTCTTCCTTGCCCCTGTCCAGAAGCTCCTACAATGTGATAAGTGCCTTTTGCACTGAGGATAATATGCCTCAGTGCATTTCATACATCAATCAGGTACATGAATGCCCTGCTACATTCTTATTATTGCCATACATTATTTGAACTTGCTATTTCAATTTCTGTAAAGATTATTCAATGAAATGGTGACACAAACAATTCCTTTGTTTCACAGGAGCTTGACTCACTGGGCCTCTGCTCTACACGCATTGAGGCCAGCTCACCAGGGGGAGCTACCATAAACACAGTGCCAGCTCTAAATGCCATGTATGAGATCATGACGATTCACCGACGCGATATGTGCAATTTAGAAGAGCTGGAGAAAGACCAGCTGAAGACATCCAGCAACTTGGACTACATTCAGATGAACAATTCCAGACTCAAGGCATGTATGACAGGGTGGCCTCTCGGCGCTGTTTCTCTCAACACAAGACGGCGACTTGTTTTAATTCACTTTGTGTCAGGACACTACACACTGTAATCTGAGTCTGTAAGGTCAGTATTGGACCACTAGATGTCAGAAAAGAAACCAACATTTGTGTTTCGTCTTCCCTAACTCAACAGTTGGCTCGCTTGCTAGGCTAAACATATAATTGGTCTGATTTATTGAACAAAAAACATAGATTCACAAGATATTCGGTTCAATTCTGTTTGTTGAGCAATTCCAAAACAAAAGTTTTATTTAGTTTTGTCTTCCACATGTATTTATAAAATCATATTGTTAGAATTGAAGATTTTGTAAAAACATATATCAAATCTAAATTGGATATTTTTTTGGTAATCACATTATATAATAGGATAGTATCCAAAGCTTTATTTAAACTTTGATAGAAGCTTTGAATGTAAAATAAAAAGGTAAGTGGTACAGCCCTTTCACTAAATATGTGGCCCGAAATATATGGATTTTCTTGGTCTATTAGTGTTATTAAGTCCTTAGACGGCACATGCAACTTTGAGAATCAACTCTTTAATCCTAAACTCATTTCTTATGCTAAACATTAGCACCTTCATTGTGCTTATAATAAAAGTTATGTATACGTCTTTCCAGGATCAGTTGGAACTGTCCATAAGGGAGAAATCGGGTCTACATGAGACAGAGAGGCAGCTCCAACTCAAAATCAAGACTTTGCAAAGCTGCTTAAAAACTGAAAAAGATGAGGTATAATTGTACTTAATTATATTATGACCAACACTTTTATTTGCAAATGCTATGCATGAGCCTGCCTAACTCATTATGGGATCACCCTGCGCAGGTTCAGAAGCTCCAGAGCATCGTAGCCAGCCGGGCCTCTCAGTACAGTCATGATGCCAAGAGGAAAGAGAGGGAAACTGCAAAGCTCAAGGAACGCCTCAGCCAGCTACTGGTCGACAGAAAGGATAAGAAACTAGGTGAATATGCTAGTCTTCAGCAAAGATTTATTATAATTGGGAATTTCAGATCAAGTTATTCATATTCTTCCTATTTTTCCCCTCTAGCTATGGATGTTCTGAATAGTCTGGGACGGTCGGATGGAAAAAGGAGCCACTGGAAGACCACAAAAACAACAGCAAGGTATCATGAGAACTCTCCAGTCAGTTGTTGTTGACCATATTTGCAGAATGTATTATCATCGTACAGATAACTGAATTGATAAATCGCTCTCTGCAGCCATGAGGGTGAGATGTACAAGTCCTTGCTCAATGACTACGAGGTGAGTCAGAGGTCCTTGATGCTGGAGAACGCTGAGCTTAAGAAAGTCCTCCAGCAGATGAAGAAGGAGATGATCCATATCCTGAGTCCACGCCCTATCAGAGATGACAGTCAGGACCAGGTATTGTTATTTTCTCCTAGTACCAAAGCCAGGGTTCAAACAAAGTCTTGAAAGTTTGGAAATTGGTGATCTGGGGGGTATACTACGAAGCTGGTTCAACCTAACCTGGATATGTTTGAGTTAGCCGGTTGGCCTAATCCAAAACATACGCGCTCTCGCTAAACTGTACTACGACGCGGGTTATCAAGTGGATCGCTCAAGCCAGCCGTGCCCTATCTAGTTAGGTGCGCGTTCACATGAAAGGAGTGGTATTTGGAGCATTCGACCAATCACAAACATGG